CAACTTCGTATGGCGGAAAATACGCGCAGCTGGTCCCGGATGCTGTGGCATACGAGTTTTACGAGTGTTTTAGTTTCCAGTAAAACACCATTATTGTCCATGTAATAAATTAATTAACAATTAGACTAGAAAATACATGCATGCAGAAACCCTCGCCTTGCTGACAAAACCATTGTATTTTCCGAACATGAAGTATCCAAAGTTGTTGTCATGGTAACACGATAATTTTTAAGAATATTCTTACAAATGAAAAATCGCCTAAAAATATCACTTTTAATTACAAAATTATCAATTTCCCAACATATATATGTTAGGTATATATGTTATTATACGTAATATAAGCATGGGCGTACCGGGCGGGAGGGGGGGCGGAGGGGGCGGTAGCCCCCCAGTTTGTTGGGCAAACAAACTCAGTCGGGCAATATTCGCTTCACAGTCGGGCAATATGCCTTACTATAAAAATAAATGGGACAAATTCTGTCATTTTTGTGGGAAATTTAGTCAATTTTGTGGGAAATATGCTACCTAATAGGAATTTTTCGTAATCACTCCTCCCACCCCACCCCCCCGTCGACAACAATTTCGGAAAGTTTCTCCGGCAAATTTTTTTTGACAACTCGGGCACAAACCGAAAAAGTTGCGCAAATTTCTTTCAGCCCCCCTAATTTTTTCCTTCCCGTACGCCCATGAATATAAGCTTCAATTTAAGGTAAAATTCAACCACAAAAGCTTCGCAAAACGTTTTAAAATGTTCTTTATAAAACTATTAAAACTGCCTTTAATTATTAAAATGGCTTTATCGATAAACTTTGAGTTTGCAATAAAATGATTTCAAATTTTCGCATGCAAATAACTTTGCTTTCTTTTTTATTTAAAAATTCAATATAGGCCTAATAAATAAGGGAATCAATATTATTAATACACTGAAATTATATGCTGTCTTGTTTAGTTGTTTCATATACGCAAAGGCAAAGGGCCAAAGCGGCCGTCGGGTTTTAAAGCAATTATAAAATCAATATTTAAAACAAACTTACCTTCGTTGACATCGGCTCCCTTCTTTTAGCCGATTCTTTCGCCCTTTCTTTCTTGAAATTTACAAAATCTTGCAAAAATGCGAGCAAAAATGCGAGCAAAAATTAAATATATTTGCAAGAAATTTATCAATCATCAAATCAAGAAATGTTTGCTATTTCACTGTCGTCATACAGTCGACAGTCGTTATAATGTAAACTTTAAATTGGACCAATCAGTGTCCGCTTTCATGACAGTCCGCCATATTTTTGAGATCAGTGAGGATGACCACCCACTCAAGATCGTCATTCGTTGGTCACGCCCGCGATAATTGATGAACTTTAGACTTGGCTAATGCTTTCGTTTCCCCGGGTGTAAATAGCCGATGGGAATTAGTACCCTCGCACGGCGCTTCGCGCCGTCGGCTCGGGGACAACGAAGCCGAGTTGTCTATGAG